CTGCCAGTCTGGTTTTCTTTTTATTCATTTAATGCTTTGTGAAGAGGAGAAGGGATATCATAATACACCTCACAGAATGCAAGGAATCCAGTACAGATAAATCAGATAGGGAAAGGCTTCTGTTTCCAGATGAAGTTATTAGCGAAGAAGAAGGAACAAGCCCAGGAAAGAATGAAGTAGTTTGATTTTGCCTGAGACTACTGGGAAGGGCAAGATTCTGTTTTCTCTTCCACCCTTTCCCCACTCCTGAGTTAAATGAGTGCAATCTACTTTTGCATTTGAACTGAATTTGCAGCATCCGAAGTAACCTGCGGATGAAAGGGGAAAGTGGGAGAAAATGAAAAAATGGGACCTTTTGAAGAAGTTGAAAAAGTGGGATGGACAGACAATTAATTGAGACTGTCCCTGCCACATCAGGACAATTGGATGGAATGCAATGTTTGCAGACAAAAACAGACCCCAAAATTACAGTATCAAAACACAATCCAACATTAACAGTATTAAAATACAACTGAATGAGAAAGCAATCTCATTAGTTTAAAGGGACTGTTTAACCATTTGTCAGTAATCAATCAATCAATCGCCTACACTGTTGGACAACTGGTCAAGATTATTTTAAACATCTTATATCTGACTTGTTCAAATATGAAGTCCATGGTAACATGAGATGGAATTCAGTATCACGCTTATGGATGTGTAACCTGGAGTAACACGTATGTGACTGATCTGTATTCATGATCCCTACATAGTCATGATTGTGGCATTATTGCCATGATCAACCACACCAAGAGAAGGAAGTCCATTCTGCTGGCAGTCAGGGTATGAGTTGATGATATTTCAGCCCTCTTCCCACCAGCGAGCAAGGCTGCAACAACCAGAAGCTTTGCTGCACTTTGGTGTTTGATCACAAGCAGAATGGTCCTCCTTCCCTTTGTGTGGCTGATGCCCAATAAAGTAGTTTTGGGAAGGGACTTGAGTCAGGAAATGTTTTTCAGTTATGCATATGAAATTAAGTAGCTCATGCAGAATTCCAGCCATGGTTCCATGATCAGGAATGTGCTTCTGAAGGCAAGAGGAAGCTGAATAGTTTGTAATAGGTTGGGATGATTATAATTCAGTGGGAGAATATACACTTTGCATGCAGAAACTTCTCGGTTCAGTCCATGATATCCCCAGGTTTTTTTTAAAAGCATGGGTGGGTAAAATGCTTGGAGCCTACAGGACTGCTGGCCAATTCCTTGCAGAGCCAGTATCGTATAACCGTTTGAGTGTTGGACTAGGATTTTCAGAGAATAGGGTTCAAATCCTTACTTGGCTGTAAAAAGCTATTGGGAGACCTTGGACCAGTCACACTGTCTCAGTCTCAGAGGAAGGCAGAGGCAAACCCCTTGGGACAAATCTTGCCAAGAAAACTCCATGATAGGTTCATTTTAGGGTTGCCATAAGATGGAAACAACTTGAATGCACATGGTGGCAACAACCACTGTTTGAGGGTCAACACTTACTGGTTTTGTGGGGTTCCCTCCCCTCAAAAAAAAAAGGTTTTAAGCTAAAAATGCAAAATAAATTAACTACAGGTATGTAAAATCATTTTTAAAATATCTGAAATTAAAATTCATTATCCACGTAATGTTCACTTTTGGTAAGTTTTTTATGTATTGGTGTTTTAAATTGTGAACCTCTTTGAGTCCCAATTTTTTTTGGGGGGGGAGAAGGATAACAACAACAGCAACAACAACAACAACAGCAGCATTAATACAGCATTGCATAGTGGTTTGAGTGTTGGACTATGACTCTAGAGACCAGGCTTCGATTCCCAGCTCGGCCAGGAAACCCACTGGCTGACCTTGGACAAGTCATACTCTCTCAGCCTCAGGGAAGGAATGGCAAACCTCCTCTAAACAAATCCTGCCAAGAAAATCCCATGATCTTGGGGTCACCATAAATTGGAATTGACTTGAAGGCACACAACAAGAACAACCATAATCATACAAATCACAGGTTTCTCTAGGATGCACCCGGAGCAGTAAAACTGGTATAAAAGTGCTATCATTACAGTCTCGGTACCAACCTGCCCCTTAATATGACAAGCCAACTAAATCTGGAGAAAAGGTAAGGTGACAATCGGTTACTCTTTTATCACTGCCACACAGGTCTTCAAAATGCAAGCTGTCCTCTGGTTTGCAGGGACAAGTTTTGTGCCATCAGCATGGCTCATAAAAATAAAATAAAATCGAGTGTGTGCATTTTGGAATGTCTTGGAGACTGACACCAAGTTTTGTCTCTGTGCTCTGTGTGTGTGTGGTGTATGTGTTAACTAGCTAAAGAATAATACCTCAGCTGCCAGTCGGAATAGGCTGCTCATGTAACAGGAAGGGTTTGTCAACTCTTCCCCTGCTTTTCATTAGAGCTGTGGAGGTTTACGCAAGGCAGTTCTCAAGGGAGGGGAGTGCAAGTTCTTTGAAGTCCTTTGTGGTGGCTGTCTAATCTGGGGGAAGAGGATTACTTTCTTTCTGCCAGGAGCACATGACAGTTTGGTAATTAATGAGCATCATAAAATTCTCTTTTACCATTAGATACCCATTAGAAAACCTGGGACGGTTGTCATTTCAGACAAAACCATGCAGATTCTCAATTTATCCCGACATCAAAGGGAATCTCCTACTGTCTTATCCTGAATGCTCTAATTGTGTTTGCATTTGGCGTGGTTGGTGCTTGAATGTGTCTGAGACAAGACTTGGTGTAAAGCGCAGGTTCCTCTGATTCGCTACACAGCCTGAGCTCTTGCAGATCTGGAAAGAGAAGGCATGGGGAGGAGGGGGGACCCCCAGACTAAAGCACCCTAAATTTGGGGGGAGTATCTGCAAAGTGCAAAGGCAGACTTACTGCTGAGCATAAAGAAAAACTGAAATAATGACCATGGAGGATCTACATACATTCAACTTAGATAATGGGAAATTGAAATAGCCAAAGATTACCCGTACCTTGGACCAAATTTTGACCAGAATGGAGATTGCAGTCAAGAAATCAGAGGAAGACTAGGCATGGAAACATCAGGTATTAAAGGACAGCTATTAAGTGGGATGTGATGGCTCAAATGTTTAAGATGCTGACTCTGTTGATGGCAAGATTGGCAGGTTGGCAGTTCGAGGCCTGGGTACTATGTGATGGGGTAAGCTCCCGTCACTAGTCCCAGCTTCTGCCAACCTAGCAGTTTGAAAGCATGCAAATGAAAGTAGATAAATGGTACCACTTTGGTGGGAAGATAACAACATTGTGTGCAGTCGTGCTGGCCACATGACCACTAGCTTGGTCTTTGGACAAAGCTGGCTCTTCAGCTGATAACGGATATGAGCACCACCCCTCTGCAGTCAGTTATGACTAGATATTCATGTCAAGGGACTACCTTTACCTTT